ACTTCTTTTTTCATGTGTCGATGCTCAACCACTGAGCCACGCTGGCTGGGCCCTTTGTCATTTTTCACTTACCCTGTTGTTACTGTCCTCCCTACCCAAAGCTCTACATCCCTTTATCACACTGCTGCCAGATAAAGCTATCTGAAATGTATCTATCTAAAGCCCTTCTTTTCTTAAACATTTCATGGCTTCTCAACATGTGTGGCATGGAGCCCAGGTTCCTGGTAGCACATCTAGTTCCTGCCCACCACCTCAGTTGTCTTCCACCAGTGGTCATTCAAAATGACTTCTAGTTCCCTCAGGTGGCATGCTCTTACAGGCCTTCTGGACCTTTTGCAGATGCTGTTTACCCACCACTGCCACCAATGTCATTGCTCTCTCTTCTCTGCCTGGCAAATACTCATTCTTCAGACTCAGTTCAGATATCACCTTCCATTTGGACACATTCACTAACTTCTCCCTGATAAAGTTAACTATCTCCACCTCCCACCTCCTTGGACTTAATTTTCACTGCTTCAAGCTTTTGAAATTATTTTTATTTATCTGTCCTTTAATTGCTGAAAGACAGGGAGCTTATAATTCTCAACAGCTAGTGTAGTGCCTGTTGCACGAAGGCAGGTGCTTAGCAGTAGCCTCTTTTTTCTTTTAAACTCAGTAGTTGGATTGAATGTCGTAAGTGAGTATCTATGGATTGCTTTGATTGGTCCCACAGCAAGGGGAATACGGGTAGGAATAGTCACAATACATCTTGGTGTTTGAGGTTGGCACCAAGTGGGATGACCGAACTGTTTCAGTTTGCCTAGAACTGAGGGATTTCCTGGGATGTGGCACTTTGAGTGGTAAAAATGGAACCGTCTCAGGTAAATAAGAATGGTCTTGCCACCAACAAGTACTGTTGGAAAGCTTTTTACCTACTCTCCTTCCTTCACTCATTGAGACTCAATCCTGACTGGCTTGTCTGACCCAGGATTGCACTGTTAAAACTTTAATAGTGCAGCGTTTTCATAGTGCTTCCTCTACTAAAGACTATTCAAAGGGATGTTATTTCTGATTCCTTTTCTTTGGCTTTCATGTAAGAATTTGGCTTTCATGTAAGAAATCCAAATTGAATCTTTGGATTATGTTACTACCACCTTTTTTACCAGGCTTGCCTTCCATTTGCCTGACTGACTAGTTGCCTAGTTCTATCAATTAGGTCTCCCCTTGTTTTTATCTTTAGTCTCTTCATTATCATTGGTTTTTTGACACCCTAAAAATATGATTAAATTATCCATATTGGCATGTTAGGGCCCTATCCATCTTTCTACCTTTTGGTATACTCGGATTCTACCCATTCATCTTTTTGCACACTTGGTGTGAGAACCTCCCCCTGTGCCTTCTTGGTCAATGGGGGAGACTCCGCAGCACTCCAGCTGACTGTCTACATTAGCAATATTATTAAAGATAATAATTTTTTAAAATTTTACCCTGGCTTTTCTCTCAGGCTGATGGACTCTCTTATCTTTACTAATGAGTAGCCTCTTACTCCTCTTACTTTCTCATCTCTTTTCAAATATTTGCATATGTATGTCTTTCCCCATATTCCCCCAAATTCTCTCTCCCTCTCTCTCCCTCTCTCTCCCTCTCTCTCCCTCTCTCTCCCTCCCTCCTAACACATAATAGTCTCAGAATAAACATGTACAAGTGTCTCAGCTCCTAGAATCAGTTCTTTCGTCAGAGGCTGTCTTGTGTCCTACAAGACTAGAAGGCATGGCCCATGTTTCTGTCTCTGATCTAAGCAGAACACTGCTCCTTGGTATTCTTCAAGCTTCCAGCCTTTTGAGTGTTGGGGTTTTTTTGTGTTTTTGGTGTGTTGTTGTTGTTTTTTTGCCATGCCAGCTTATTTCTGCCTTAGGACATTTGTATTGGCTGTTCCTTCTGCTTTTAATGTTTTGCCCCTAAAATATGTCTGACAAATTCATCTCATCACATCACTCAGATCTCAATACAAATGTTACCTGTTAAGAGGCCTTCTTTAATTACCTAAATTAAAAATCCTCTCCAGTCATTCTTTCACATTGCTTTATTTCCATGACACTTAACCACTATCAATATCTTGATTTTCCATTTGTTTCCTGCAGTAAGAATTAAGCTCATGAGAACTGGGACTTCATATGTCCTATTCCCAAAAGAGGTACCCATTCAATATTTGTAGATTAAGTGTTTTTGAAAGCAGCAGCCATGTCTTAATTTTTGTTTTTCTCTTGTGCTCACCACAATATTGAGTAGGGGCTCAGTAAACATTGAATATTGGCTTGGTTTACCAGCTATACTAAAATATGAAATGACTGACTTACTGCCCTCTACCTCATAGAGTGTTAAAGAAAACAGTGTAAGGTTATGGAAAATGATAATCCTTTGAGAAATATCTCCAAGAGTAGTAGCCAGTGGCAGGATTATTCTGTGACCTATGAATTCAGGGGTGGGTGGGTGGGGGAATTGCCTTTGTTTTTTCTTGAAAATAGTTTATCTTTTCTAATTCTAAAAGGTACTGAATGTTCATTATGGAAAAATGAAAGATACTGAAAAATAAAAAAGGGAATAATAAGATGCAGAAAAAACATTTGACAAAAATCCAACACCTTTCATGATAAAAAGACTTAAACTAGAATAGAAGGGAGCTTTTTTGGAAGAAGTAGAACTACTTCTGTTTGCGAATGACATGATCTTATATGTAGAAAATCCTAAGGAATCCACTAAAAACTTATTGAAACTAATAAGCAAGTTTAGCAAGGATGCAGAATATAAGGTTAATATACAAAAATCAATTGTATCTCTATACACTTGCAATGAACAACCCACAAGTAAAACTAAGAAAATAATTCCATTTATAATAGCATCAAGAATAAAATACAAAGGAGTAAATTTAACAAAAGAAGTATAAAATTTATGCTCTGAAAACTATAAAACATTGTTGAAAGAGATTAAAGAAGATCAAATAAGTAGAAAAGCATTTTGTATTCATGGACCAGAAGATGTAATATTGTTAAATTGACAGTACTCCCCAAAGTAATCTAAAAATTCAGCATAACCCCTATAAGAATCACAGTTGACCATTGTAGAAATTAACAAGCTGATCTTACAATTAGTTTTGAATTGCAGGGGACCAGAAATTACCAAACCATATTGAAAAAGAAAAGCACCCAATTTTAAAAACTACAAAGTAGTGGTAATTAAGACATTGTGGTTACTGGCATAAATTAATAGAATATAATTGAGAATTCAAAAATAAAGCTATTTGTCTATGGCTAGCTGATTTCAACAAGAATATCAAGACCATTGAATGGGGAAAGAATATTCTCTTCAACAATAGTGCTGGAACAGACAATTGGATAGCCACATGTAAATGAATGAAGTTGGACCCTTACCTCACACCACAAACAAAAATTAACTTAAAATGAATCACAGACTAAATGTAAGAAATAAAACTATTAAACTCTTTGGAGAAAACATGTAAATTTTCATGACATTGGATTTGTCATGTGAAAAGCGTGAGCAACAAAAGAAAAAATAGGTAACTTGAACTTCATCAAAATTCAAAAACTTTTGTGCTTCAAAGACATTATCAAGAAAGTGAAAGGACAGTTCCTAGAGCGAAAAGAAATATATTTGTAAATAAGGGTCTTGTATCCAGAATAAAGAACTCTTACAACTCAATAATAAAGATGATTAAATTGATTAAAAAGTAGGCAGAGGATCTGAATAGACATTTCTCCAAAGAATATATACAAGTGGCCAATAAGCACAGGAAAAGATGCTTGACATCATTAGTTATGAGGGAACTGCAAATCAAAACCACAATGAGATACCACTTCACACACACAAGGATGGCTAGAACCAAAAAGTCAGTTGATATGTGTTGTCATGGATGTGAAGAAATCAGAACATTGTACGTTACTGGTAGAAATGTAAAATAGTTCAGCCACTTTGGAAAACAGTTTGACAGTTCCTCAGAAGGTTAAACATAGAAGTAACCATATACTCCAGCAATTCCACTCCTAGGTATATATATACCCAAGAGAAATGAAAACATATGTCCATACAAAAACTTATACACAAATGTTGGTAGCATTATTCATAATAGCCAAAAGATAGAAGCACCCCAAAGGTCCATTAATGGATGAATGGTTAGACAAATTGTGGCATATCCATACAATGAACTAATATTCAGCCATAGAAAAGAGTGAAGCACTGATACATGCTACAACCTGGATGAACCTTGAGAATATTATGCTAGGTGAATGAAGCCAGCCACAAAAGTCCACATATTTTATGATACCATTTACTTAAAATGTCCAGAATAAGTAAATCCATAGAGACAGAAAATAGATTAGTGGTTGCTTAGGGCTGGGATGAGATGGGGTGGGGGTTGGGGAAGTAGGAGTGACAGTTAAAGGGTAGGGGGTTTCCTGTCAGGGTAATGAAAATGTTCTATAATTGACTGGTGATGGTTGAACATAGCAGTTAGTATACTAAAATCCATTTGATTGTACATTTTAAGTGGTTGAATTGTATGATTTGTGAATTATATATTGATACATATATAATTCACATACCATATGCCGTTATAAAGAAAGAAAAAGGAATAATAGTGATCCATAATTCTACTACCTTGAAATAATTTCTGTTAGCATTTTGACCTGTTTTTGCCAGTTTTTTAATGCATCTTTTTCACATAATTGAGGTAATGGCTTCATATAGAATTTTTAATGTATTACCTTTTATGCTTATCATTCTGACCTTAAAAAGTTGTCCATGATATTACAGATTCTCCTAATTATTAATATTTCGTGTAGATGTACCATACTGTAATAATTTTCTTATTGGTGTACATTTAAATTGTTTTTTTCTTTATCTTTTCCCCATGATAATGAGTACTGTAGTAAAAACACTTTTTTTTTTTTTTTTAAGACTAGAACATCCGTATGAAATGCTTTATATGAAACCTCTTTTGTTCCCAGAGAAAAGAAGATTTCGAGGAGCAGTGCCCTGAAAGTGCTGGACCATGCCATGATTGGGCCCGAGGGCACAGACAATTGCCATAAGTTTGTTGACATTCTTGGCTTACGAACCATCTTTCCCCTCTTTATGAAATCTCCCAAGAAGATCAAGAAAGTGGGAACCACTGAGAAGGAACATGAAGGTAGGATTCACTGGAAAACTCAGACTAATTTAGGTGCATTAAGAGAAATGGTGGAAAAAAGAGCTACTTTTAAAACTCTGTTGTGCATTCGAGGAGTAGACTCTTAGCTGAAGAGTACTACCTTCTTCTTTTCTATTTTTTTGTATTTTCTGTGCATGGAAAAGCAACCCAGAGACCCCAGATCTCTGATGGCCTTTGTTCACTGGTTCTCTTGCTTGAATCCTGGTGGTTCCATTTCCTCCTGGCCTGTTAATAAGTCTCTGCGTGCAGGTTTTGTTTCTTCACTATAATTTGTAGCGAGGTGTCTCTCTGATGGAAGACCCTTTTGAAAAGAGTAATGAGATGGCAACACATGTCACCTCCGGAGTGGTGCTTTCATGTATTTCTGTATTAAAGTATGATTCGGCTAACATCAGGAATTGCCGAAATAAACTATTTACAGCCCAGATTCCCCTTTTTATGTTTCTCCTCCCTGATGGTGCATACTCCCAGCAAAATGCTGCCATGAATTGCGATGCTGTAACCAGAGTAGTTACCGCTAGGCCAATCTCTTCCTGCTATTGTCTAGTGCCTGCTGCATCCTCCCCCCAATAAATAGCCGCAGTACAATCTGGAAGGCTGGGGATTTATGAGCATTGACAGTTCTGCTGGAGGCTAACAGACGCTTGTACTAGGGAATTCACATGGTTGGATGGTTATTTTAAAGTGTGGGGGGAGTTAAGGAGGGATATGAGGAGCTGATTGGCTGACTAATTTGGTTGTCTTGTCAAAGTTAACATTTGTCCCATAGTTAGGGTGATTTTTTTTTTCATAGTGATTAATAGAATTGGCGTTGGTATCTGAAGGACCTTTTGCATTGCTCATTCTGTTAGATAAAAGTTTTCTTTCTCGCTTTTCCTGTGGGAGCTGCCGGGTAGAGAGGAGTGTGTCCTTCTCCTCTCCCCGCCATGGCGTATGCTCGTCCACTGATATCTGTGTACTCTGAAAAGGGGGAAACATCTGGCAAAAATGTCACTTTGCCTGCTATGTTCAAGGCTCCCATTCGACCAGATATTGTGAATTTTGTTCACACCAACTTGCACAAAAACAATAGACAGCCCTATGCTGTCAGTGAATTGGCAGGTCATCAAACCAGTGCCGAGTCCTGGGGTACTGGCAGAGCTGTGGCTCGAATTCCCAGAGTCCGAGGTGGTGGAACTCATTGTTCTGGCCATGGTGCTTTTGGAAATATGTGTCGTGGAGGCCGCATGTTTGCACCAACCAAAACCTGGCGCCGTTGGCACCGCAGAGTAAACACAACACAGAAACAATATGCCATCTGCTCTGCCCTTGCTGCCCAGCCTTACCAGCACTGGTCATGTCTAAAGGTCACCGTATTGAGGAAGTTCCTGAACTTCCTTTGGTGGTTGAAGATAAAGTTAAAGGCTACAAGAAAACCAAGGAGGCTGTTTCGCTTCTTAAGAAACTTAAGGCCTGGAATGATATAAAAAAGGTCTATGCCTCTCAGCGAATGAGGGCTGGCAAGGGCAAAATGAGAAACTGTCGTCGTATCCAGCGCAGGGGATCTTGTATCATCTATAATGAGGACAACGGTATCATCGAAGCCTTCAGAAACATCCCTGGAATTACTCTGCTTAATGTAAGCAAACTGAACATTTTGAAACTTGCACCTGGAGGGCATGTGGGCCGTTTCTGCATTTGGACTGAAAGTGCTTTCCGCAAGTTAGATGAGCTGTATGGCAATGGCGTAGAGCTGCCTCCCTCAAGAGTAACTACAACCTTCCCATGCACAAGATGCTCAATACAGACCTTAGCAGAATCTTGAAAAGCCCAGAGATCCAAAGAGCCCTCCAACCACCACGCAAGAAGATTCACCGCAGAGTCCTGAAGAAGAATCCCCTGAAAAACCTGAGAATCACGTTGAAGCTAAACCCATATGCAAAGACCATGCGCTGGAACACCATTCTTCATCAGGCCAAGAACCACAAGCTTCGGGTGGATAAAGCAGCAGCAGCACTAGAAGCCAAATCAGATGAGAAGGGGGTTCCAGGCAAGAAGCCTGTGGTAGGGAAGAAAGGAAAGAAGGCTGTTGGCCTTAAGAAGCAGAAGCCTTTGGTGGGGAAAAAGGCTGCAGCTACCAAGAAACCAGCAGCTGAGAAGAAGCCCACAGAAAAGGAACCCAACACAGAAGAAAAGAAGCCTGTGGCATAAGCTTACATTTGTTTATTCCATAACGGTCAAATCACTTTGGACAGCTAATTTTGAATAAAAATGATCAAAGGCAATGAGAAACATAAAAAAATAAAAATAAAAATAAATGGATAATTAAGACCATTATAAACTAATCAACAAAAATAGGTACAGAGGCAGAGCAACATCGAACAGACTGTCAAACTACAGCGGGAAGGCCGGGGAGGGTTGAGGGGGGGTGGGTAAGAGATCAACCGAAGGACTTATATGCATGCATATAAGCATAACCAATGGACACAAGACACTGGGGGGTAGGGGAGGCTAGGGGAAGGTCAAGGGGGGAAAAAAGGAGACATATGTAATACTCTGTAATACTTTAAGCAATAAAACAATTAAAAAACAAGTTTTCTTTCTCAAATTTACTTGGCCTAGTGTTTTCCAACTGGAATGGCTTAAGGCAGTGGTTCTCAACATGTGGGTCGCGACCCCTTTGGGGGTCGAACGACCTTTTCACAGAGGTCGCCTAAGACCATCGGAAAACACATATATAATTACATATTGTTTTTGTGATTAATCACTGCTTTAATTATGTTCAATTTGTAACAATGAAATTGGGGGTCACCACAACATGAGGAACTGTATTGAAGGGTCGTGGCATTAGGAAGGTTGAGAACCACTGGCTTAAGGGAAAGTGATATGACTGTCTTTAGTAGTAGCTTCCAATGATAACGTCTCTGATCAGATCAACTCTCCAGAGACAACAGGAAGTCTGGCAAGGGGAGGACTGGCAGTGCAAAAAACTGTGAACTAGAGATCTAGAACAAGCAGAGAGTTCAGTTCGCCTCAGATTGATTTTGACCAAACACCAGCCGTAAACATGTTTATCAGCCGTAAACAGCCCTATTGCTGGCCGTTTTTCCATCAAAATTCAGCAAAATGAGGCCATGAGAGAGGAAATAGATGGTCTTGGAGATCTAGGAGAAAATTTTGGAGACAGTCATCATTCCGTGAAAACCTGCCACAGTCCTAGTAGTGCTGCGCTCTGGGCTCTCTTATTTAGGCTTAACAACCTATCAAGTAGATGGTGGTACCTTTGTGGGGTTATTTTTAGGAAATCAACTGAGAAATGAATCAGGCTGTGGTTCTAACTAACTGTGTGACCCTTTATTTAACTTTGCCAGACTGTATTTTCCTTCTTGGTCCATAAAATGAGGAAACTAGATTAGTTAACTAGAAACTCTGATATCTGCACCTTAAGACTCTCAGGCACGGGCCCTATTGCCTATTGTTATGGTCTTGTCCTGTAATCCAGGAAGCTCCTCAAAGACTGTGCTGTGGCTGACCTGCTGGGTTCTAGTGAGAGACCTGGCACTGCATCTTGGGCATGCTTGAAGAAAGAGAAGGAAAACAGTCCTTGGCTGGCTCTTGCTCTTTGTGCTTGGTACTGAGAAGAGAAGTGACTGATTCAGTGAGCAGCTGTTTCCCTTTTGAAAGAATGTGCCTGGTTGAATGCTGGTAGCAATACATTTGCTCTAGAGTACCGCATTAGGAATTTGATAACATTATATTAGTGAGGGCAATGGCTTGGTAAGACAGCTGCTGGAAGGCATGTTTGGACCGTAATGACTGGTGAGGATGAGTTCTGCATCCTGAATACACCAGCACCCAGAGAGAAGTGAACTTCTCGCTGGAGGTCCCAGCTAGCTGCTCCTTCTCCTGGCAGACTGGTCCTCACTCATGCCATGAAGGTAGAAAACAAAGGCAGAGCGGGGCAGGACACATTGTGCAATATTTCTTTGTTCTGTCTTGTCCTTTGGCTTACTCTCTGTGTGCTGGTCAGCTTTGTATGCTAAGCTAGAGCACAATAGCCTCAGCTATCAGGAGTATTTATAGACATGCGCAGCTCATTCCTGGCCCCAGGCTTCCACCATGCTCCTTCCTCAATCTGTACCAATTTTTTCTGTCTGCGTTTTAGTCATCCTTCAGGTCCTTGGTTTTGCTGTCACTTTCTCAGGGAGGCATATCATAAGATCCTGGACTAGAATAGAGCTTCTTGTTAAGTGTACTTTTGGTCTCCAGACTTTGCCTTCATAGCCTTTAAGATTTTGGAACAAATAGCCTTTTCACCGCTAAGTCCAAGGGCCCAGCCTGGTGCTTGGCATATGTTGGATGCACAGTAAATGTTCATTGACTACATGAATGAACATCACTTTCCCTAAAAGACTGCTCAGCGAGGACAGACATGGATTTGGAACTCTCCTTAGAACCCTGCAAGGTTAACATCAATGCAGTGGACTTCAGTCAGATTGATGGTTGTTAGTCATACCCTTGGTGAGTGGTCTTTTACCCAGCTTGTTTAGAAGCAAAATAGTGGGGTGACACAAAAGCAGCTGTGTTTCTAAAGCCAACAAAGAGGTTGAGAGAGGAGAACTTTTGATTAAGGTGACTAGAGAGGAAGGAAGAAGCAAAAACTGTCCTTATAACCTAGAATTGCTGGTAATTTAGTTCCTCTTTTGTGAGTTGGGGTAGGGAAGGAAAAGAATTATTGTAATTGAAATCCATTCAGGTTTGCATAATAAAACCGTCAGAAATAGATCAGGGAAGGCATTTAGCTTGGGGGATGGGTTGGAAAGAAATAATTTGCCCTTGTGTGCAATAGCATGATTGGCTGCCTCTTTGGTTTTATAAAGAATAGCACAGTATATAATGTCTCTTTGGTATTAACTGCTTCAGAATAGGAGGAGAGAAGAAAAGAGCTGGGATCCAGAAATGGCATTTGACCTTTACTTCTTGTCTCTTTTTAAAATTCTTATTAAAATAGGTACAATTTTTCTTATATTGCTTCATTAGGTAGGTGAGTTATTGAGTTTGTAGCAGTTCTACTTAATTGCGCTGTTTTAACATGGTTCCCCTGGAGGCTGTTATAAGCTTTAAGGAGGTGAGCTACCAAGCAGTGTGTAGGTGTATGGTGTGCATGCTGAGCATGTGCACACATTTTACCTATGAACAATGACAGCAGTTGATGACAGGTTAGTGCTTTAAAGAATACCATCTGTCATCTGCAAAGAATTGTGATTCTGGTGGACTCCACGTGTCAGGTAACATGTACTAGTAGTTGCTGGTGCTCCTTGGACTCCTAACAGTGAGGAAGTGCAGACCAAAACTCCCACCACCTACCAGGATTAGAAAAGGGAAATGGCAAAACCTTTCCTACAGTTAGTAAAGGGAGCTTAACCAGCATAGGTAAGTCATTGTTTGGGGCCAGCTTTTATTGGGGGCTCCTGCTATGTCCAAAATTCAACAAAGATCTAGTATGTCACAGGTCCCCAGGAGAAAGGTCACAAAATAGAATCCATGTCCTGTGGGAAAGCTCTTTCTTAGTGTTCCATCTCCAGATCCTTTTTCTCTGCCTGTTCTTTTTTTTTTTCCTCAGGTGATCTCACCTACTACCTGAAGCTTTAACTTCTATCTCTTTGCCATTGATTCCCAAATCTTCAACCTTGTATCTTTCCTAAGCGCTAGTTGGCACAGCTAACTAACCAGAAGACAATCCCATCAGATACTCAAACTCAACTCTTTCAAAGCCATACTCATTCCTTCATTGCCCAAGTCTCCTCTGTTTCCTTATCCTGGTAAATGTCACTACTCTCCATTTCACCACCCATGGCAAAAATCAATGCATCATCTTAACTCTAATATTCCCCTCTTGTAATTGATCTTAAGTCCTATGAATTTTATCTTATAAAAAAGTTGAGTAAGTCCTCTATGTTGCCGCTGACTGTAACTCATCACCTCTCGTGAACTGTTACTGTAGCTTTAATAAGTCTCTCGCACTTTAGTCTCCTAATTCTCTTGTCCTCTCAGAGTCCATCCTGCATGTCACCACTCAAATTAGAGAGGCACTCCCAGCCCTCAATAAATTTATAGTTTAAGGAAGGGGAGGAAGCAATTTTGTTGATAGTTACCAAAAAATCATATTAGCAACTACAAAGACTTACCAGAAAAGAGTACTTCGTTATTAAAGAGTACGAGAGAATAGGAATACTTGGAGAAAAAGATACTTCTGGTAGAAGGGAAATGATGACATAGATTAAACCAAAGGACACTGGAATGTCAACCTACCAGTCTTCACACAACTGATCATATTTGAGCCTTACAACATTCCCATAAGGCTGATGTTATCTCTCATTCTGAAGATGAGGAAATTGTAAGACTCAAGGAGATCATGACTTCAAGTCATACAGTGGGTAAGTAGCTAAACTAAGACTTAGACCCTAAGCTTCTGATCACAAATCTCACACTCGTTTCACAAAGTCATGCCATAGTATTTGCTCTTTTGAGTCCAGCCAAACTAACTTGATCTCTTCTCTGGATTGTTGATGAAGTCAAAAGTTCTTGATTAGAAGACCTTGGTTCTAACCTTAGTGCTTTGACCCAGGGCAGGTCATCATGGTAGTAGGGACTCTTATTCTTTCAAATTGCACAAATTATATGGCACATGACTTAGTGAAATTATTGTTAGGCATTTCTAGTGTCTTTCACAGTGCTTGGTGCATGGTAGGTGCTCAGTAAGCATTGATTGAATGTGTTTATTTAACACCTATATACCATCTACAACCAAGATCAAGACACATGCCTATAGTTAAGAGCATTGTGAAATTCAAAGGACTCTTACCATGTTAACTAGTTTATGGTTCTCCCATAAGACCACAGCATCTGTCCCATAGTAATGTTCAATACATGTTTGTTTATTCATCTATAAGAATAGGATTAATACCACCCTTTTTGAATTGTTGAGAATTATTATTATTGTGTAAGTCTAACATAGTGTGGGGATTGATAAAATGTTAGTTTATTATGAATCATTCGTTTAATACTGACCCCAAACATCATACTATACTAAATGCTATACTTTGTGGAAGCCCAGACTTCTAGGGATTCTGGGAAGGCTTAAAAAAAGAGTGTTTCTTGAAAAATAAATAGTATTTCATTCTTATACTAATGATAGGAGTGGCAGAGGGGGCAGAACTAAGGCATGTATAACAATTATGTGATACTAGAGGCCCAGTACATGGATTCGTGCACTGGTGGGGTCCCTCGGCCTGGCCTGTG